AAAAAAAAAAAAAAAAAAAAAAAAAAGCTAGTTTATACTTTTCTTGTTATTGTTGCCTTGAGAGAAGAAGAGAGATTGAAGAGAAATTAGAAACTTTGAGAGAAGTTTCAAAGCATTAATGGAAATAAGGAATGGAAGAGGAAGCCCAGTAGGGTCTGGGCAGGAGACCCAGGAGTTGTGGTTTAAGTTTACTGAATTTGCAGTAGTGAAGGGGGCTGTGTTTTCAAGAAATCTGGTGAAGAGAAGAAAAGGGCCATGGAGACAAACATGTTTATACATAGAAAGTGATGATACAGCAGGTAGAAATAATGGACGAAACCACAACCTCAAAGGGGCCTGAGAGGCTGAGACTGAGATTAGCCAGAGAGGATAGTGTCCTACAGTCTGAGAGTCTGTGAGCTGGAAGCAAAAGAAGACAAGGTGAGTGAAAAATACAGAACATTTTCAGGTGGAGAATAAGAAAGTGGAGCTAATTTACACCAGAGAGTTTACTTTCTGTGCAAAGCGTGAGGCACTTCATTCATCTACAGAGAAGTCTGAGGGAATACTGAGGCCTGAGAAAAACTTGACATAAGCAGACTGGGGAATATGACCTACGGTCAATTCACAATGAATAAAAAATGTCTCCAGGAATGAATGCCCAGCTGTGATTGTGGAACACATGGCAGAGCCAGCTGGCCTAGTCTGGGGTCTTTCTCCAGCAATGCTCTGGTGTCAATAACACTGCAAAGGCCTTTGAGGGCTTCGGCTGCCCTTGTCTGTAACCAGTTGTTGCTGCATCTGGATTTATGCAGTTTGGTTTTCTTCCAAGGGAGTCCGGCAGTACACTTCTCCTTTGGTGAACGCTGCTCTGCTTGACCCATTTCTAATGTGTCTAGATCTCTCTGGCCAAGAAAGCTCTGATTTAATCTGGCGCTGGCTGCCATGTTGGAGCAGCATTTCCAGTGTGGCTAAAGAGGATGTTTGCAAGATATGCTTACTTGTCCTCTGCTCCAGGGTAAGGAGACCGAAGGTAAGCCCACACGGGGAGGTATCTGGCCTGATGTGGGTTGGAACACTGCCCTAGGGTCCTATTGACACAAAGCCCTTCAGTGAGGAGAGAGAATCAGGACGTAAAGATGGAATGTTTGAGGTTAAAAACAATATTCCACCTAAATAGGGCTGACTTATACTCTCTGTCTATAGTAACAGACTGTTCCACATCACAGATCTTGGAGAAGCCAGCAGAGCACGTGCTCACTTAACCTTCCATCCAAGATAAGGAGGAAGAGGATGAGGATGGTAACCACAGCAGTAAACATTAGAGAATTTTTTCTACCATATATATATATATATATATATATATATATATTAATTGAAGTATAGTTGATTTGCAGTTAACATTTGTTTTTTTGTTTGTTTGTTTATTTGTTTTGCGGTACGCGGGACTCTCACTGTTGTGGCCTCCCCCGTTGTGGAGCACAGGCTCCGGACGCGCAGGCTCAGCGGCCATGGCTCACGGGCCTAGCCGCTCCGCGGCACGCGGGATCTTCCCAGACCGGGGCACGAACCCGTGTCCCCTGCATCGGCAGGCGGACTCCCAACCACTGTGCCACCAGGGAAGCCCTGCAGTCGACATTTTATTGAGCACTTTTCTAAGCACTTTGCATCCAGTTCTTCTTTCTTCATAGAACAGCCTTATACGGTAACAGTATTTTTGTCTTGTTTTTTCCGAAAAGGGATCTTGAAGCACAGTTGCCTCGAGTCACGCAGCTAATAAGGAGGCTGCCCCAAATTGTGAAGACAAGTTTGCCTTCTGAGAAGAACATTATAAAAACTCAAAACCATAACCAAAATCACTACACAATTTAGTGGATGAGAGCAGCCATCCTGGTAACTAACCCTCCCTCACCCATGCTCTGTTCAGGGGTGGTTAAATGGTGAAAAGTCGTGACAACACACAGAAAAACAAAGCATCCCGTACATTATATTAAGTGGTAATGGCTATAATTATTTTCAGTGATTATCATCTCTACTGTGTCTGCTCACATTCTTGAAAGGAATCCCATTACTATTTATTTTCGAACTCTACCTTATCTCTATTTAATATTGATTTTCTTTTTATCTTGTTTTTATAATTCTTTTGATTACTTTGGCTTCCCTCGAGATGTTTATTTCCTTTTCTTCCCAACTGGTCTTTTTATTCTCTCACAAAGCTTTCATTCAGTGTTTTCCACATAATATTTATTTTGCCTTCCTTTGAGTACCCACAAAGGAAAACATGTCAAAAGGTTTTACTAGCAGAATTACAGAATGTGGAGCAGAAAAGGTCCTCTGAGATAGTCCTGTCTGAGCCCACTGTTTTTACAGGGGGAAACTTCCACGTGAAATACTTTCCTTTGTTAACCTCTGTACCTGTG